GCTGGTGGAGCAGGAGCGGCCTGCGGGAATCAAGCTGGGTTTGGCATCCGAGAGGCTGAAGCTTCTTTGGGCCTTCCGGGCTGGGTGTGGGACGGGATATCACTCCTCTTCTTTCCATGCTCAGCACAACCTCTTCACACCTCGCGCTGATCCGGTACTGAAGCTCGAGCGCTCCTTGAATTCCCTGAACTCTGACAGATGGGAGACCTGGTTTGCCGGCTGCAGCAGCGGCAGGCTAGAGGGTTTCTGAAGTCGTTGAAATGGTCCGTCCAGCGGCTCAGGGTTTATGAGGGAACAGGGGCATCTCAGAGGTTGCGGTGGTGTTTAGCGGACTTCCAATACCGGGGCCAACGGCATGCTGCTTCTGATTGAAGAGTAACTACTAGTTGGGGCCTTTTCTGAAACTACCTCATCCTCATGATTGAGTTGTGCTGCTTTTGCTCATTGCTGTCATTGCTCGAAGCTGTGGCGCCAATGCAGCAATCCCGAGCTTGGCTTATTCGGACTTCGCCATCGACGATATATTTGGTGTAGTACATTGTAGTCTGTTGTGGTATAATAGTAGTAGATCATAGTATGCTACAGTATTTTCTGAAATGAGGCAAGCCTCAGTGCCCAAATCCAAACCTGTGGGCCTTGGGGGAGCCAGGATCTTGCCATCTTCTCCGAGGAAACATACCCAGAGGCGCACTGCGCATGTGAAGCCCGGACCTAGTCAACCGGGGTTAGGGTTTAGGGTTTAGGGTTTAGGGTAGTGCAGATCGGATGCAGGAGCTCCTTCGGCGTTTGGACCATTTCCGCGAGGTGGCGAAAGGCCTCGCCGCACCCGGCCGAGCTGTCTCGGGGTCCGAAGAAGTTTGCTTGTGTGTATATATATATATGTATATATACATATTTATGTATATGTATATATACACATGCAGAGATCTACTACACACATCGATTGTGTATGTGTGTATGTATGCATGTATGTAAGTACGTACATATATAGAGTATGTCTACACATACGTACATATATATATATATGTATCATCATCATCATCATCATCACCATCATCATCACTCTTCTACCGGCATCGCTACCGGTGTCGGCAGCAGCACCACCACCATCATCCTTTGCCACTTTGATCTCGGCTCCGTGCCGTGTCGTTTGACAATCGGTAGAGCTTTTCCTGCTGTCAAGACGATGCCGCCAGCATGAACAAGGAGTCAGTGAGGAGCAACATATAGTGACGAGAATGGGTGATCGGATGATGGCGTTGCTGCTACTGATAACAGTGATGTTCGTGATGTCCATGATGCTGATGGTGATGGCGGTGATGGCAATGGCGATGATGACGTTGATCGTGATGACGTTGATGAGAACGATGCTGGAAAGATGCCTGCATGGCTAGCATTTCGCCGATCATGACAATGCCATCGAAGACGACGGCGATGGCGGCGAGCTGGAGAAGCATGTGACCGTTTGAAGGATTCCGATGACAATGTGCGATGCGACAGTCGACGATGACTCCCACTGCGACTGCCATGATCGACAGCTGTTATCATTGTTGTTATGCTACCGCAGTCTGTGGTTTGTAGAAGGGGTTGTAAGTGCGGTCTTTTGCTTCGGCGCCTGGACGGAGCATTCTTTCAGAGTGCCTTTTTTGCCTCGGTGCGAGTTTGGGGAGATGCCAACCGTTTTCAGAAAACGGTGATGATTGTCGTACTGGGAGGGCATGCACGGTGAGGTACTTAAATAAGGTAAACTTTACAGATGTAAGTGACGTTCCCGCTGCTGCGTAAATCACGCTCAATGTTTCAGCTTCAAAAGAGTTCTCCAAGTCCATCGTTGGTGTGTTGCGAGGGCATGCTAAGCCAATATCTGGTTTTTTCTGAAGCTGCGAAGTTACTACTCCGGTCTTCGTATGTTCAATGTTGAGCCAGTCGGTCCGCAAACAAGACCGGGTTTGTTCGGCGGTAGCATTGTAATCACCAGCACAAGATCACAAACGCTGTGTTTACGCGCCCGGGTAACACGCCCAAATTACTGCTGCTTTTCAATCCAACAGCCTAAGGCAGAGCAAGTAATATCGACCCTACATCCTAAATCTCAGCCTGGTTTATCTGCATCCTGAGGCAAATTGATGATTGGGGCGCCCGTTACTGGCAGAACGAAAGGGAATTATAAGCATTTCCGATATACGATTTAATAACTAAATAGTTTTATCATAAATAGATTTCGTATATTCGAAAAATTAATTTCACCAAATTATCGAAATATTAGAGTGGACTCGCTGCTTCCAGCAGCGGGATAAAGTAGCTACATTATATTTTTATAGAGTTCTTATTTAATATATTTGATTTCAAAATAAAGATTGATTCTAGAAACACTCTTATTAAAAATTGCGATTAAATATGTCTGTGGGGTTTGTGCGCGATTTAATTTTTCTGGTTCTGCTTTCTATAAATTCTTATGGGCCGAATTTAGATTCTAAATAATTCAAATATTTGTGGTCCCACAGAAATTTCTGGGATTTTAATATTTAGAAATTTTCTATCATGAATAATTGATTAAAATATTCCGTAAATTCAAAATAAGATGGGCCGGTATTATAGGTATAGTATATTTAGGGAATAATTTTTATTTTTGGAGTATGTAGCTTGAGCTAGGCGATTTAGTCGGGTCGGGGTTGTCGTCTGATTCGGGTCCGGGGTCGTATTTGGGTTCGTGATTGGTACCGTCTCCGGGTTAATATTTGGTTCGTGATTCTTCGGGTCCGGGTTGTATCTGAATTCGTATTTGGTTCGTATTTATATTCGTATCTAGATACGGGCCCAGCTCGTATTAAATTCGATTTGGTTGCATTTTCTATAAGTCATGATATTGATTTGGTTATATGGTTTTTATTTAAAAAATATTTCGTAGAATAAATTTTTGTATATCTGATTTAGATTTAGAGATTTTTGATAGTCCCCCATACTTGAATATCTGAGCATTTGGGGGTCCGATTTGTATCTAGGTTCGTGTCCGGCTCGTGTCCGGGTTCGGATCTAGATCCATATCTGGGTCCGGATTCGTATTTGATTCGAATTTATTTAATTCTTGCAATTAAAGGCATCCAGATAATGAATAGTATTTTAAATGCATATTTCATATAAAAAATTAAATTCATATTTAGATTCTAAAGCTACGACCGCTAGGCAAATATTCTTATATAAGCTATAGTTTTATTCATTTTTATAATATTCGAGCATATACTTTATAGATAATTCTCTATCAAGTTCGATTAAGCAATAGTAATCCATAAACCATAAAATTAATCACTGAAATAATACGAACTATATTTTCTTATAAAAAGAAATTATTTTCAATAATTTTACAAAAGATCCACTCTAATATTCTCTAAAAAAAAATAAAAAAATAATAAATCAAATAAAAATTAATAATTAAATTCGAATTTTCTAAATTTAAATATTTTTTCTATAAATTTTTGGTCAGCCCCCGCCCCATGATCTACCTCCGTCTTTCTT